ATATACACTTTTAATATCATGAGTAAGATTTATTTTGAGATGCATAGCAAAATTTTTTTAAAAATATTATACTTTAATTAATAAAAAATGTTTTCATTCTTCTAAACTAAATATATGAGTAGAAAATATTTAATAGGAAATAAAGAATAAAAGAAGAACCAATAGCATGTTAATTTGAATATAAAAAGTTTAGTTTTGATTAAATAAAATTTTAAATTTGAATCTTATAAAATTTTGAATTAATTAAAATTCAGTTTAACTTTATCAATCATCTATTGGTCTAAGTGAAAGTATTTCGTTTCCCCTTAAACAAAATCTCGAATTCGAGTTTTATGAATGAAAAAACAAATGTTGGAAGAACTTTTCCTTAATGAAATTTGATACAACTCGATTCTGAATTAATCGGATTCAATTTAATTACTAGATCCATTAATACTAAAAAAATTCAGTTTAATTTTAAGAAATCTAGCGATTAGTTAAAAAAAAAAAAAGCCGAAAAAAAGGGAGAAAAAAAAAAAGTGGGCAGGGTGGACGAGGAGTCGGAGACCCACCCCACCCACACACAACCACACACATCCAAAAGACAAAGCCCCAAAGTCATAAGGCCTTGGTCCTTTGCTGCTTCGGTTGGATCAACCCACAATGCCAGAAAACAAAGCTTTTAGACACACAAGAAATGAACATCATTTATCAGCTTTTACCGAACCAGGATCATGATTCCATCTGCTTCGCCATTTTCCTCTGTAATTGAGCTCTAACCTAACCCTAGATTTCATTTTGTTTTACTCTTTCTTCTTCTTCTTCTTCACACCAAACTCCTAGATCTTTTTCTGATACCCTTCGATTTCTTTATTTTTTTTCTCGGTGATCGGAGTGTCGCAGCGTCGTAATTGTCTTTCTTCTTGTTTTTTTTTTCCTCCTCTTTTGTTGGAGAATTTTTTTTTCATTTTTGTTTCTATTTAGGGTTTGAGATTATAGCTAGCTTTGGATTTTAGCCCGTCTGGAGTTGAATTCATGGAGATGGAGCCTCGCGTCGGGAATAAATTCCGGCTAGGTCGGAAGATCGGCAGCGGGTCATTTGGAGAGATCTATCTTGGTTCGTTGCAGAATTTTGTTGATAATTTATTTATTTATTTATTTTTTTGCCTGTTTTGAATGTGTTTTGATAGTCAATTTGTCTATGCAGGTACTAATATTCAGACGAATGAAGAGGTTGCCATCAAGCTTGTGAGCCTCCTTGCTCTGATTTTTCTCCTAATTTTTGTGAAATTTATACAATTTCGCAGCTGTATATTGTCTTTTCATCAGAATATTTTTGCTCATGATCTAATTCTCACTTGTTTTTGCATGGTATCTTTGTCTTGTCACGCGTTTTTTAGTTATTGAAGCATGAGTAGCATGAAAATGTTTCGCATTTGATTAATTTGGGTTGTAGGTAGTCCTGCTAGGATAGCTGTAATGTGAAGGTGTTTAGAGCAGTTGGATGCCAAAAATTAGCTGTTTCTGGTTTTGTGCCCCTTTATTGGTATGGGATCTATACCTCCATACCAAAAGGACTTAAGTATGACACAGGACCTATTAAACATTTTATCAATTATACAGCCACAAGTCTTTAGCCTAGTGGTTTAACTGTCAATCCTTTTGGGGGAAGGGAGTATGGAGGTATTTAGTTTTAAAATCCATGGCACTTGCTTTTGAGTATTAAAGGCAGGGCTGACTCCTGTACAGTCCAGTCTTTCATGCATTAAAATCTTGAAAAGAATGGTTTGATGCTATGGTTCATGTTTTCTTAGCCCTTTTGACATCCCAGTAAAATTCATTACCTTCTCATGCTCAGTTATGTTTTGGGGCTTTGCTCTAGAAAGTTATCTTCTCCTTTCAATAATTTAGCAACAATGAATTTGTTTTAGTTGATTAGTTCCTGCTCAATTTCCTATCTTCAGGAAAATGTCAAGACAAAGCACCCTCAGTTGCTGTATGAATCAAAGTTGTACAGAATCCTGCAGGGAGGAAGTAATGATGTTTGAATTTTTTTATCTATCCAGTGCATGAAATTTCGTCACGAGGTTATCTGTTTTGAGCTGTGTGGTTTCTTATGATTGCAACCAGTAATGATGCCTTCCTTTCCTTCATTCTTGGCAGCTGGAATTCCAAATGTGAGATGGTTTGGAGTTGAGGGAGATTATAATGTTCTGGTCATGGATTTGCTAGGACCCAGTCTTGAAGATCTATTTAATTTTTGTAGTAGGAAACTATCCCTAAAGTCAGTTCTCATGCTTGCAGATCAAATGGTAGGTTTCATGTGCATAATACACCAGTTTTCAGTGCTCTGTTGTAAATAGCTGATCACATTTTCTCTTATTTATCTTTCTCCAGATCAATCGTGTTGAATTTGTTCATTCAAAATCATTCCTACACCGAGATATCAAGCCTGATAATTTCCTTATGGGCCTAGGAAGACGTGCAAATCAGGTTTCTGGTCCAAATTTTGTACTTATTCAATCCCAAATTATCTGGCTCTTTTTTTTTCTTAATAAAACTTAAGGCACTCACAGTATGATGTTTTAGTAATTTTTTCCTTTCATAAAGTTCTAACCTGGCTGCAATAAGAAGGATATTGACAATGTTATAAAGGATAACTGTTTTGGTGATCTCATTGATCAATGGGTTTTGATTCTATCATTATTCGACTAGTTTTAATCAAGATCACAATTCTGATAACATTTTTTTTTCTATATGAATGATATGGGACTTCAATAAGAGAAAAGAAGCCCAAAGAAGATGTAACAAAGGGACTGTCTTGTTCCATTTATTTCTCCTGTTTATAACTTTCTTTTTCTTGGTAGTCCAATGTTAATTTATTGACTATAATTCACTTGCACATAGGTCTACATTATTGACTTTGGTCTGGCTAAGAAATATAGAGACAATTCAACTCATCAACACATTCCTTACAGGTAAGACATTCCCCTTCACCCCCACCATTCAGCTGTGTTCATCATCTGCACATTCTTGTTTGGTTTTTTCCACTGTTATCTCTCAGACTTTATTTAAGTGAGAAGCTCTTGATTACTTCTCTTTCAGTCATTAGTGGTAATGGATTTATCAATGGCATATCTTCCTTTAAAAGAGGCAAAGGCATTTTGAAGGATTCTGTCAAATTGTTCGTGATTATGATATAAGAGCAACTTTGAGTGCTTTACATTTGATCCTCTCTAGATATACATATCTTATTGCATGACAATGCTGTACTGAATGCTTATGTAGAGTCATAGATGTTGAATAAAATAGCCCAATACCTAGCTTGTGTCTGGCATTAATGATGGACAGAACAGAAGAATTGTATATGAGTTGAACACCTTAGAGAAGTGTATTGGTATTAATTTGCAGATAATCTGAAAATGTAAAGCTTTTCTTTGGTGCTTTGAATTTGATATATGATGAATAATTTTTCTTATTGCTTAATGACAGTTACTTCCTTGTGAGTTCAAAATAGTTAGCATCAGAACATCTTGATGCAAGCCTGTTCAATTTTGCATGTAGAGGTTATATTTCCTAGATGTCTTTGGATTTGGATCACGTTTCATAGTTTCTAGCTACTGAGATAAAGCTTAAACTATGGCCCTAGTAATTAGATAATTGTTGTTTAAATGGTTCACCGTTGAATCATTGATGCATCTGACATCATTCATTACCTCTTTCACTTCATTCAGATGAATTCTGGTGCTTTGTCAAGTCAAATGCTGAGTGTATATTATCATGCCTATTTCAGGGAAAACAAGAATCTGACTGGGACTGCTAGATATGCAAGCATGAATACACACTTGGGGATTGGTATGCTTTCCAAGTAGTTTGTCTGTTGAGTATTCATCTCAATGTACAGGGCTTTCTTTTAATCGTTTGTGATTCAGTTGCCTCTTTTTCCTATCAATTTGTTATGCAGAGCAAAGCAGGAGGGATGATTTAGAGTCTCTTGGTTATGTCCTTATGTACTTCTTAAGAGGAAGGTTATAACTATTGCCATCTCTATTTATCATCTTTCATTATTTTCTTTAGTATTTTCTTTAGTGATGCCCTTTCTCTTTATAGTCTTCCTTGGCAGGGACTGAAAGCTGGAACAAAGAAACAGAAGTATGAGAAAATTAGTGAGAAGAAGGTTTCTACATCAATTGAGGTATGAGTTTCTTCATCTCATGCACCTAAATGTATTATCTTTTCTTCTTCCTACTTTTCCAACCACCCTCCCATCCCTCGACATCAAACAAAAGGGAGGTGGATATGGTTGGTTTCCTGGTCCTATTTTGTATGATTAAAACTATGACTGGATTGATGCTCTTTCAGGCCTTGTGTCGAGGTTATCCAACAGAATTTGCATCTTATTTCCATTACTGCCGTTCACTCAGATTTGATGATAAGCCAGATTATGCTTATTTGAAGAGAATATTCCGTGACCTCTTCATTCGTGAAGGTTTGAATTTATCTATTCTACTACTTAAAACTTTCTAAATCTATTCTGGTTTCAAATTTCAAGTTCTTGTCAATCCATAGGTTCTCATCGGCATTTTTTAATTTTATTTTGACTATACTCTTGCTGTACAGGCTTCCAGTTCGATTATGTTTTTGACTGGACTATTTTAAAGTATCAGCAATCACAGCTAGCTACTCCTCCAACTCGTGCCCTTGTAAGTTCTTTTGTAGTTTTTATTTATATAGTATTTATTTCTATTGTTTATTAGGATTCATGTTTGATGCTGGTTTCTTCTAGGGTCCTGGTGCTGGAACAAGTTCTGCAATGCCCCCTGTTATTGCCAATGCTGATAGACAGACAGGTGGAAATGTTGTTTTCTATTCCTTTATCAGTGTGTTAATTTTGTAATTGTTTCTTGATTAGATATGTTCTTATTTTCAATGGATGTTCTAGTTGAAGATATTTCATTGCTTACTTTTTCTTTTTGTCAAATTCTTTTTCTTATACAAAGTGTCATTCTGCTTCTTTTCCTTATTGAGTTCAACTCTCTGTGTTTTCATTGTTAATTTTTTACATCACATCTTGTTGAACCAAAAAAAAAAAAAAAATGATGCTCCTTGGATCTTATTTGGTTCTGTTTGTTGTAGCTGGAGAAGATTCCTCCCGGAGGAGGGCACCAGTACCAGTAATGAATTCTGGAAATTTATCCAAGCAGAAAAGTCCAGCTAATGATTCTGCAGTAACTAAGGATGCTGTGGTAAATTTCTTATATTTTAAATTCTTTATATTTAGTTACATGCATATATTGTTATTTAAAATTTATCAACTTCCCATTCTAGTCTATCTCTCTGGTTGCCTGGATTGATTACTACTAAATCTTGTTGGGGATGGTTACAAGGCATTTTGATGATTCTAGGCCTTTTTTCCCATGATGATTCTTGTCTTAGATTAGGCATATTGTTGATTTGTTATTTAAAATTTATCAACCTGCCATCCCATTCTAGTTTCTATGTGTGTGTGGAGGGTTGGATGTGTTACTACCAAATCATGCACAGTATGTTAGTAAGGCATTTTGATTTAGTAATTGAGAATTTTCTATCAACTACTGATTCATCCTCTTTGTTTGAATTATGAGCTTGAATGTTTTTGTACCTTTGGATTCCATCACAATTTTTATGCAGAGTCAAGAGTCGATGGAACAGTTGTATATTTTAATTACTATCTGTTTTAAATACAATTTGTATATTTGGAGATGCAGTATTTTGGACAGTCAGGTGGGTCCTCCAGGCGAATTTCTGCCTCTGGTAGCCGTGATGTATTTGCTGGAAGTGAGTGTGATCCACAACGATCTCGTACAACTGATGCTAGCCCTGGAGGACACAGAGTTTCAAGTTGGCAGAGAGGTACCTCTCCTGTTTCATCCTCAGAGCCCAAGCGAACATTGTCTGGTAGGAATACCGCTCATGTAAAGAACTATGAAGCAGCTGTTAAGGGCATGGAGAGCCTGCACTTTGAAAATGATGAACGGGTTCATTTTTAGATGCTTAGTCCTACCGGGCACTGTAAAATCATGCAATGGTTGATGTATTATTACATTTTGCAATTGAACAGAATTCCCCCAAGGAGTTGACTTTTCAAGGAATGTGTGACATACAGCCTGCAGTCCTTTGCGTTTGGACTCATTCCCCCAATGCATAATGCATAAATTTTTCCAAAGATAACTTCTGGAGTATGTATAATTCAACAGCGTCAAGGTGTTGCCTGGAAAGGGCATGTGTGCTACTGACTTTTTTTCTATTTTTCCTGACGGTTCAACTGTATCTTTGGTGTCTGTTTCATCTCGACTCGTGCGTCTTGTTATCGTCTGGGATTCGTTGGATTTTCTGAACTCATGTCACTGTAGTTCGGCATACGCTAATCATGGTACTCTGTCGTTCTAACAGCAGTTCCTATATATATATATATACATATTTTAATCCTAAATTTTTATATAATTGGTTTTTTGTATAAGAATTGTATGACACTTGTGTAAGATGAATTCAGCTCTCCATTTTGATCAGCCAGAAACCAAATTTACAACCAAATTTACAATCAAATTTGTTGAAAATTTTTGAATTTTGGATGCAGTTTATTAGTTGGTCTTTATTTGATATTTTGTATGCATCTTTGTAAGTGTTATCATTTAATCTTTTATAATTTACAACCATTCTAACTTTTCCTCATTTAATTTTTTTTGTGATTTCTTACCATGAAGGTTGCAGAGGAATGTTTAAAACTGGAATGCTTTATGACTCATAAGGGTAAAAGTTTTTTTATTTGAATTTTAAATTCTTGCCTATCAAGTGGATTGTGATTCATTTGGCTACTAGTAATTTTAAGTTTAGGATTTATTATATCTAGTTTTGTTATATTTAGTTTTGTTGTACATTTATTTTGATTCTAATATTTGATTGAGTCTTCTCTTCGAACTTGAGTTTCACCAATTATCCTGAATAACTCATTTAGAATTTTTTTTTTGTAATTTTTATTTTTTCTTTTATTTTCTTCTTTTTGCAAATTTGAAAACATTTTTTTTATATTTACATATATTTCGTCTTCTTCACTAATTAGGTTATCAAAAAACTGATAATTTATAGAATCATCAAATATTTTCAAAGTCTTTTATGAGAGATTCAATATATAATCAGGTTTTAATAAATCATCAAAAAAAAATTTCATCACTACTTAAATAATTACTATTATATTCAAAATGCTTATTTAACTTATTTTGGATTTTTGGGGTGCTATTTCTTTTGGTTTTGGAAGATTTATAACATATTTATCTGTTGGGGTGTAACAAGTTCATTTTGCAAACTGTACTCTATTAGAAGAAATTGTCATTTGGCCTTGAAAGTGAGGGATCAAATTTAAGTCAATTATGAAGGGATAATTATTTTGGATATCATGTACAATTAGTTGAGATACTGTATACTTTTCTCCAAAAGTTTTTGATCCCCAATCTTAGAAAGAAATTTTTGCGTCATTTAAGCATTTATCATATTTGAGTTAAGTTTCATCCATTTGAGTTCCATAAACAGTTTTTATTGGTGAAACTTGAGAACTCGGGATTTCAACTTTAAGGATGTGAGATTTTGATGCTTTTGTATCAATCATTTCTAAGAATTCTTTAGTTTCTCTATTTTTAAAGGTGATTGAACACAGCATGTTGAGCAAATAATTTGGATCTTTGGGATTTGTTGGAATATTAGTTGATAAACTAGAGATTTGCTCCTCTTTATTTGTTGTTTGTTCATAAGCATCTTTTAGTTTGAGAGTGCTAATTGTTTCTCCAGTTCTTTTATTCTTTGGTGGAGAAATTCAAATTGTTCTTCTAATTGTAAGATGTACTTTTTTTTTTCATTGAGAAGTTTAGTCATTGAGAAGTTTATTCATTGAGAAGTTTATTCATTGAGAAGTTTATTCATTGATTTCATTTCTTGCAATAGACAATTTTTTTACATTTTTGATTAATTGTTTTCATTTAATGTAGAGATGTGCATCTGTTTTATAGGTTTTGAAGGTTGTACCTATTTAACCTCTTTTTTTGTTTTTTGTTTTTTTTTTTTTTTTTTTTTTTTTTTTTTAACAAAACGTACAATATACTTTTGAGCATATTGTACGTTTCAATTTTGTAGAAGGCTGGGTGTACCTATGACAATCTAGACATTTTTCCCATTGTGGTGGTCGATTTAATTGCCATAAGTGTCTACAATTAGAATCAATTTTGTTCATCATGATTTTAACACTAGTTAGTTTTTGATCAAGAGAATCTATAAATTGCTGAAGATTTTGATCTTTATAATCTATATCTTCTTTAGATTTTGAATAAGATTCAGACATATTTTCTATAAAAATATTTTCTGAAATGATGCTGTAGACATACTTTCATACTCATATCCACTTATAGAGATAATGTCTTCCTTTTCCTCAAGATTTGCTCATATGTGAGATCTTTTTATTGGTTTGTTCTTGTTTGGGCATCTATTTGCATAGAGTCCTGGATTTCCACATATATAGCATTGTTTTGTCTTTCTTTGGATTTTTGGGTTTTTTCACATATTTCTCCTTTTTACCTTATTTTTCCTTTTTTTGAAGGTTTTACTAGGCCTAAGAGAATATGTTTTCTTTTTTATGAATTTTTTGGGTTTGCATGAAAAACATTCTTTTTGAGATTTTTTGTATTTTTTCCTCTTGTTATATGATTCTTTTGAAGAACCATGTTCCCTAATTATAGATTTACAGAAACCAAATTTTTGCTTTTTAAGAGATTTTTGGATTTGAATATCTATACATTTTTCTCTTAATATTTTATATATAGATAAAAACCTAGGGCCTGCTCCATGTTGAGGTGTAGGGTTAGAAGCTAACCATTTTTCTTAGATTTGTTTACCAAGGGTGCTTGGAAGCTTATCAAAGATTCTATTATTTAAGTTGTCATCAAATCCTTGTCCTGTTCTAGCAACGAGTTTAAGAAAATCATTGCAAAAAGACTCAATTTGATACCAAGATGTTAATTGAAAGACCTCAAGTTCCTTAATAGCTTTATTTTGCAAAGCTCTTTCTGAATCAATTGTTATATTAGATCTTAAGAACATCTTTTTGATTAAAGAGGTAAAATTGTATGAATTTTCCCCCAAGTCTTTTGTTTTAGCAACTAAGGTCAGGTTTTCTCTTTTAAAAGTGTTTCAATCCAATTCTACAGTTGGGCCTAGAAGTGTTTTTAAGAATTCAAACATCTCACCATCCATAGGCCTATTGATCCATGCCTGACAAGTGTCTCTTTCCCATTGATCTATTATTTTTGCCCAAAGTTTTGGATTCCAACTTGGTAATTCCAAAATAGTCCTTTATTGTTTTGTAGCAGGTAACTGGTTTGGGTCAATCTCCATTCTTTTACCAAATTGTATCCTCTTTCTATTTTCTCCCCTATACTCAAGTGTTGCTTGAGGTATGAGATATCTTCCTCCTAATTTGCATGTTCTAGAATCGAAGACTTTAGATACTTTGGAAGTTCCAAAATTTTCTTCAATTTCGAATCTAGTTGAAGCACTAGGGTTCTGGTTAGGATTTGGATTTGGATTTGGATTTGGATTTTTAAGAGTTACATTCATGAATATTTTCTCCTATTAGGATTCATATTCATGAATGATTTGAAGTATGGGTTTATGATTTTTTAAGTAAGCTTTAACAAGAATTCTAAATCTAGAATTGATCTTCTATGTCTTCTCCATAATATTTTAGTATTAAAATTTCTTCAACATTAATTTCCTTTCTTTATAAGGAAAAGTAAGTTTCAATAAATTCTCATTCTTCATTATATTTGTCTTTGATTGGTCCCCATTTTGCAAATGTTCTTCCCTTTTTATTAAAGTTTGAAGCTAAGAAGGTTCACTTTCTTCATTCTCAATTTCTTTAGTGAAATGTAACATCTTAATTTCAATCGTTTATTCATTTTCTTCTTGTTTAGGAAGAATACTTTCATAATCATTAAAGCTCAAACTCGTTTCTGCTTTGTAATTTTGATATAAGGTATTTTGAATGGGTACCATTATGGGTTTGCTTAGGAATTTGGTGATATTCCATTTAGTTCCATTTAGATAGATTGAATCTAAATGTTTAGCTTGAATGGCTCTAATTCTCATTGTCCCATATATTTCACATATTTCTTCACTAGTTATTTTATAATTGGTGGTGCTATTATGAGTAATTTGGCCAGTGAATCCTATGCAACTAAAAGATTCTTTTCTCCCTCAGCTATGGAATACGCTTTAGTCATCATTCCTACTTTTATAAATTGTTTAAAGGCTTTTATGTCCAATTGGAAATTGGGAGTAAAGTAAGTAAATCCCCCTTGTTTTGATGGGTCTATTTTGATAGATCCTATAAGGGCTTGAATCATATCATGATGTTTTGTGTCTAAAAGAGTTGAAAGGCATTTTGTACATAAACCCTTCCTATGAAGTATTTTGACATTTATAGTAATCAACCCTATGGGGACCAATGAATATTTCATTTTTTCAAGATTAAAATATCTATTTTCACTTAACAGTCTTAGAGTGACACTATCACTATCTTGGACATAAGATATTTGAACTCTTGATAATACTGAAAGATTGATTTAGCACTAAACAAGGAATTAGCATTTTCATAAAGATACTTGGGTTTGCCCAAGTCAAATTTATGAGTTTTGAATCTGTTTATTTATTCCTCAAGATCTATTAAAGTTTCGATTTTTACAAATTCTTGCATTTGTTTTCCCTTAGAAAACATCCTAATCAAAGAGTTGCTTGTGACTTTAGATGATTCCATGATTTTGGATTTTAAGGTAGTACAATATAATTTCTTGAGACTTTAAGTTCTTTAGCCTTTATGTTGGATAAAGATGAAAGATTAGATTTTATTTGTCTGAGATCCTCTTTTATATCAATGGTTCTTATTGGATCAATTTTCTCACTTACTTCCTGAAGCAGATCTTATCCCTTAGTTTCTTTACATATTTCTATTGTTCTTGAGTGAGTGTCTTTTAAAAACATCTTTTAAGTCTTTTATTTCACTTAAGATTTCTTCTTGGTTTTCAAGGATTCGTAATAGCAAAATAATTTGAGTATTTTGCTGTCCTACTAATACCTGATATTGGATTGCTAACGGTTAAAAATTGGTTAATCCGTAAGGATTTCCTAATTTTCCTGCTTCTTTTAATGCTTCTTGATAGTTTGAATTTTAAGAGAAAGGGGTTTTACTCATTCAAACCAAGAATTAATTTTGAAGTTTCTGCACTTGTTTTAACAACTCTTCTTGATTTTGGATCAAGGTAGCCGTTTGATGACAAAGATTTTGAACAAAAGGATCTGACTCTATTTTATTCAAAATTTGAGAATTAATTAAATTAACTTTGTTTTTGACAAATTCAATTTGTTGTTGCAAGTAGTTTTGATTTTCAATTGTTCTTACAATATTTTTGTTGTAATGCTTTTCAAAGTTTTGGAACCTTTTGTGCATTACTTTTTCTTTTTCTTTTTGTTTTTTTTTTTTAAATTTTTTGAGAAATTTATAATTAAGTTTACCATATTATTTAATTTACTATTATTTGAATGTAAATTATTATTAAACTTGGAAAACTACACACTATATTATGATTATCTAAAGTTACCTTTGGTTTTTTGTATGGATGTGAAATAATTAAATTGAAATAATCTAAACTCATATAAATTTTTACAAAGAAATTTTTTTTTGACTAAATCAAAACACAATAATAGATAATAATATCACAACAGTTTATAGTAACAGATAATAACAATAACAGAAAAAAGTATTTGACAAAGTTATAAATATAAATAGTAATAGGTATTGACAAAAGGTAAACATATATTATAATACTGACGAATAGATAAAAAACAGATAAGGAAGTAAATACAAGATAGAAAAAGGAAACCAAATATTAACAAAAGACAAAATAGTAAACAACTTGTGACCAAGTTAGTCAACAAGAAGGCAAAGCTATGTAAATGGGAAAAGATAGCAATTTGGAAAGTCTTGACTTTTAACACAACTATATTAATGTAATCTGACACCAAGTGAAAAATAAACAAGATAAAAATCCTACAATTTGAATAGATATGAAGGAAAACTATACAACCTAACACAAATTAATGAAAATTGGACTTTAAAGTAAATAAACTTTTACGTAACAAGAACTAGAAGTTTTAAATAAAGGTTTAATGCAGTTAACAAAAATACAAGACAAACCATCTCTTTGGTAAAGATTTTTGTCTGTAAACTAAAACTTGTCTACTTTCTATACTACATACAAACATAAAAATGAAATGGTTCTAATATCATTTTATTTTCATACCTCTTTCACAATTACCCTTTTATTCATTATCTTTCTAAGTTTCTCAAAACCCAGTGACCCCCTTTTTCCCAAGAAAGCTAGTGACCAACCCAATCAAGAAAACTGGATTTCCAAATCCTTGGTGATTTCTCCTAAAACTCCATTCTCAACTTCAAATGGATACTCTCCAGTTGGGCTGGGTAGTAAAGAATTTGTTCTCTACCAGGCTATTCAAGTTTAACTTTGTTACTCTTCACAGTAGTGTAAGTTATGAAAAACAATTATTTTTCCTTAAAGATCTTTGAGAAAGAAGTTGAAAATAGCCTACACAAGAATCTCTTCATCTATATATAAGTATATTAATGTAGAATAATGAGACAAATAGAAGCTATAAACTATTCTCTTTGTCAAAGAATTTCTTTAAGCTAAATAACACATTAAAGAAAATAACTAAGAATATATTTTATACATAGTTGAAAGAGCACAAATTACAAAAGATGTGAGTTGAGTACAGCCTTTGAACTTTCTCTAAACTCTCTCTTTTCTTTCTGCTTTCTACTTTCTACTTGCTACGACTTCTAACAACCTCTTACACGACCTATCTTGCTTCCTAACTTCTACTCTATTTATAGAGGCAAAACTAACCTAGGTTACAAAAAGTAATTATAGTAAAATTAACTCTAGTTACAAAAAGGTAAGTATGATTAACTAACCCTAGGTTTATTTACAAAGATAACCATAGTAAGTCATTTTTATCTTTTTGGAAAGATAAAATGTGACTAGCTTTCGAAGAACATGTCTCATGATAGTCACTTTGGAGTGAGGCATGCCTGTTCTTTTGTTTGATTTATTTATTACCCGTCCATTTGATTTTTGAGATGTTCCCATCCAACTGAATCAAGATCATCATGAAAACGTATCTCATCATTTGGGTTGTCATTGGGAAGGTCACCACCCAAATCAACTCCATCATTTGGGTTGTCATTGGGAAGGTCACCACCCAAATCAACTCCAGCGCCTCGATATTTGGATTGATCTTCACCATTTTTATACTCCTCAAAGTAAATATTTAGTAGTTCAGTGTAGCTTTTTTGAGGCGAGATAGGAATCTCCCTTTGACTGTGACTATGAATAAACACATCAGGATCAAGATAAATTTTTTGAATATTATCCGCAGTAAAGAGGGTGTATTCAATTGTAAAATCATCTCCCATGACTTGCATGTGTGCCATGATTCTAGCTCTCCAGCGTTTGAGTTGTTTTGTGAGGGATTGAGTAGTGGATGGCCAAGCCTGAATGTCTTTGTAAAGAGGCAATAAACTGCTTCTTCTTCTTAGAATAATTTTGTGTTATGTTGGGAGTAGATGTCTACCTTTCCATTCAGGTGCCTTGCTTTGAATCAATGCCTCAACATTGTTGGGAGGCACACTTTCTAAGGCAACCATAGCAAATTTTCTTCCAACAAGATCAATATCCTCAATCTTTGTAAAAATTAATTGAAAGAGAAAACCATAATCCAAGAGTAATTGTGGAGTTAACTTGATGACTTCCCCTTCATATAAAAATTGAATTGGATCATAAGAGGATAGATCTAGAGAAACTTTGCAAATGCTATAAACAAGTTGACATTGATAGTCAAATTGTTTAAGAGGAATTTCATTTGCAATTTCTTCTTTGCACCTATTACACCTTTTGAGTCTTCCTTCTGTAGTAGAATAATAAGTGTCCCATGTAAAGCCTATACTAGATTGGTTGATACCATCTTGGGCTATTTGTTAAAGTAATTGTTGAATTACCCTCAATTTACCATGGCTTGAGGCTTTTGCTTTTTGAAAAATTAGTTGTCTTAAGTCTTCTAGCAGTTCGGGTAAGGGAACATGTGGATTGAAATTCATCATGAGTTGCCTCTAAGTGTCATCTATTAATGGAATTATAGAAGTTGAGGAGGATCCTTCAATTAAATATTTATTAATTCCTAGTGGGGGAATTAATTGTCTTCCACCCGCTAGTGGGACTAAGGTGGTCTTCAATATTTCACCTGAAGGTTCCTACAAATCTGGAGAAAGATAAGGGCTAATGAAAAGCTGTCTCCAAGATGCTGTTGAGCACATTGAATAGCTTCATCAAATAGATAAAGTCTTTTATAGAGTGGTTTTCTAAAATCTTGTATTTGGAACAACATTTCATCCCACTTCTTATAAACTCCAAGGGTTTTTCCCTTGATTAGAAGAACATAATAATTAAATTTATTATGCTTTTTTAAGTACTGGGCTAAAGTTCTTAAATTGTTCTAAAAAAAGTTCTTAAATTGTTCTAAAAAGAGTTCAAATTGCCAGAGCTCTCCTGAATGTTGTTTAGAAGTTGACTAGCAATTGGATCTAATTTAAGCCCTTCTGCATAGGACCTAACTCTAAAGGTGTTGACTCTATTGTTGGTTTTGCCTGAAATCAAGTGTCTCATTCTAATCCTTCACAAGAGAAGAATGAATATATTTGCTTAGCCAATCAGCAAGATAATTATCTTTACTTTTATATGTTCAAATTTTACTTTGAAACCATTTCCAGTTATGACATTTACAAAATTCATCCATCGTTTAAAAAAAAGACTTTTTTCATTTTTCTTTTGAAAATATTTTACAATTACCTCATAGTCTGTTTTAATTGTAAAAACATCATTTTGGATAACAAATCTAAAAGAATTTAAAGCATTTATAACTCCTAATATTTCAAAAATCAAGTGATGTTAAGGAATTTTTACTTTTTCTATACAATCCACTAGAGTATCTACAATTTTTTTTCTTTTTTTTTTTTTGGGATGAAAATTCATTTGGTTTTACCAACAAAATTGCTTACCATCCTTTACTACTATTATTGGTTTCGACTATTTTGTAGTCCAATTCTAATGGTAGAGTTAGAGAGAGTAAATTTTTAACTTCATTTTTATTTTTTTTACAAGTCTGATGTCATCACTATTGAAAAACTTTTGTCATTTAGGACTAAATTTTGCATATAATGATCCAGTTTTGTTTAGATAAATCTTTTATATACATTCGAGCATAATTGAGTATACTTAAGAATTTTTGAAGTTCTTTTGTTTCCTCAATTTTGTCGAGAAATTTAAGAATCCTCTTAACTATATAATCCTGTAATTGAATTTTTTTTCTGTCCAATCCTCATTCCTAAAAATTCTATGTATTCTTTGGAGAGTTCTATTTTCTTTTAGAAATTATAAGGTTATTTTTCAATAATTTAATGAAAACAGTCTGGAGGTGTTTGATATGCTTAGTCTCAGTTTTGCTGAAGATGAGAATATCATCTATGTATATCAAGACAAAATATTAAATGTTCATTTTTTAATCCAAAAAGTATAACTTGCCATTCAAACTGTCCTTGGAGACAAATGAAGGCCACCCATGCCCACTTACGTAGCTTTGCCTTCTTGTTAACTAACTTGGTCAAAAATTATTTTGTCTTTTGTTAATATTTGGTTTCCTTGTTCTACCTTGTATTTACTTTTTTATCTGTTTTCTATCTACTCATCAATGTTATAATATCTATTTACCTTTTATCAATACCTATTACTGCTTATATTTATAACTCTGTTAAATAGTATTTACTATTGTTGTTATTATCTGTAAATTGTTGCAATATTATTATCTGTACTATGTTTTGACTTAGTCAAAAAATTTTATCTCTATATATATATATATATATATATATCTCAATTAACGACAAAAAATGCAATTGAGAAGGGAAGAGACATGGTAACATGATGTATAGAAGTTAATGAGGATGCAAGGTAAGGCTGTCCTGCTTTTCTCTGGCGTCTTTCCTAATTCGTTCTCATCATTTTCCTTGATTACAGTGGTTCATATTTTTAATTTAACGCCTTAAATTCGAATGTCAACATTGCTGTGGTGGGTGACATATTCTTTTGTTGATTTCTGTAGTCTGTAGCTAAACAAAAAAAAGCTTATCGTGGCAAAAACACGAGTTTTTTGAAGAATCATATACAAATTTTCATTTATAAACTAACAGAAAAAGAAAACAGGTACTATCATTGTGGCACTGCTAGTGACTTGGTAATCACAAAGATTGCTTGTGCATTTACCAGAGTCTGCCTCGCAGTTGAACACATATCGGTAATGGACCGCAATATCTCAGCAGAAGGCGGCATCATACATGGAAACAAAATACAACCAGAAGCAATGAGATGCCAGAAGAGTTACTGAGTTAGCTTGTAAGAGAATAAACACAAACAGCAACTGTGGCAATTGACAAAGCAGGTACCAACTAATCTGCGCTATAGTTACACGGGAAGGAGGTTACTGGGTTTTCCCTTTGCGATTCATTAAATCATGGTAGTATAGAAGCACGCACGTTGGTTGGCCAAGGATGCAGAAAAAGAACCAGAAGATCATGTTCCCCACCTGGGCATTGAAAGCAAATAAATCATATCATGATGTCTGGTATACTGCGGTTCCTTTTCTTAGAACTGTTTTTGGATTGAAAAAAAAATGTTATCTTTAACATTTAACTAGTCTATATTAATTGGGAAAAGAAGTTGGAAGTAGATAATTAATTACATATGAAATGGTTCACAGAATTAAACAGAAATTTTTAATGTGAAAACACACCATTGAGTTTCTGAACTTGTTTTGCAGGAAATTTGTGATCAAGACCAAAGGAACCTGATTCAAAAATTGAAGAAGGAAGAAAGTAAAAAAAGAAAAGATTTAGCAAATATCATTTTCACCAATTAGTTCTTGCTACATCATGACAAATAAAAATGTTAAATAATTACTATAATCATTGATCTTCATCCTATGAGAAAAATATAGGTCACATCTAGGCGAAGAGTCCACTGACTTAGTAATAGCTGAAATTTGAAAGCTCTTACCTGAAACATGATTCCAATAAATGCCCAAAACTTAAATATGTGGCAAGGAACAGCAATGCATAACTGTCATGCCAAAATAAACAGGATCAAAGCAGTCATAAATTAAATTACCAGAGATGGAGGAATTAAATGCACATATGCTGTTAAGGAAGAAATCAATGGAGGAATTATATGCGCATATATGATGTTATGGAAGAAAACAAACTGTAACTTCAGTATCAGCCTCATTTGAATTCTAATCAAACTGTTTAATCGGGCTTTTTTCACTTTGAGAAAAGAAACCATGAGTAGATTATTAGATTCTACCAAAATGGCAATAGTGGCACCTGAAAAGGATGACTCAGTCATGTCAACATCAGATATAAAAATTGCATTTACAAGGCATTCTACCCTCTAATGTCATAACATTTACTTTATTTATTTTTATTTCTGCAATGTATAGCCTACCCTTCCACCCATGAAACGTTTTAACTTGTTCTCCAAACCCCAAACAACCACAGGAAACAGATCCTGATATCTATTTTTTTTGTTATGTTCTTCCTTTTTTGTCCTTGGAACTCCAAATTTCCTCACCAATCAAGTCTTCACATGTTAATCCTAAGCTGAGGATAAACTTATACTCCAAGATGTTAGCTGCCAATAGCATCAATCTGGCTTAATGACAAATCTTAGAGGGACTGAGATGGGATTTTGTTATTCATTACTACATCACCTATCAAGAAACTTTTTGAATGTCCACAAGAGAAGTATGCAAGCTATGGGGCGAAAGTTTAACACATTTTCTGTAACAACAACAACAATGATAACGATAATATAAATTTAATAAAATTTATCCCATTTCCATTATCAACGAAGTATTAGACTGTAACGAGTGAAAACTCAACAGGGAAAAATGTTCAATCTAAAAAGAAGAAAATAAAGAAACATACCTCATGGAATACAGCAGAAACAAAGAAGGCAATAAAAATGGCAAGTCCCTATATAAGGCATATGAAGAAAAGAAAAGCATTGAGAAAATAGCAAGAGCAAAACCTCAATAATATAATAATAATACGAATGAATAAAACTATAGAACAGTAGCTTGCTTGGTGGAAGGATAGGCAACCACTTAAAATTTCACCAAAACAGAATGCAAAGAAAAGTCAACATTGAAAAAAGGTACTGCAGATAGTAAAGAATCAAGGATTATTGAAATGGGGCATCATGAGCACTAGTTCAAATGACGCAAAACTTAAATTTAAGGAAAATGTTAAAATGTTGGCTATTCAGACTACATCAGTCACCATCTGCTATATATTTTTTTTGTTTATCTGAAATATCAGCAGCATATTACAAGTCTTTAAGTAGAAGACCTACTATAAAAAAAGACATGGCTTAATGCACTGACATGCTGACAGAATTAAATTTACCTTGGGTATCCCATTCCTTAGGCATGGAAAATAGATATGACGAACCATCCATTTGTGGACAGGCTGCAATCAATGAATTATATGAGTAATATGATTAACAAACTTAAACCAAAAGATGACATTAGGTTAGAAATAACAATCAGAGAGGATTTGGACATTCTGAAAAATGATGAGCTTAAAGGAATGGATAACATGTGAGAAATAAATTGAAGATTTCAACACCAAAGACATATTATAAAAAAAAGGGAAAGAACAGTGTAATGCAGAAAAGAATAGTGAGTTTAAGCAAAGAAACATACCATATTCCACATTTTCCAATACTGATGACAGCATGAAACAAGAAAACGCATACAAGAAGCACAAGTTCAGGTCAGCAAAGGACTGTAAAAATTATAAGAAATTTTAAGAGGATATAGAACTTACCTCCTCAACAGTTTTTGCATTCCACCAATCTTTGTAGAACTCACGATCCCCAAAACGAAGAAGCTCAGCAAGTATATTCAACCTATATTTTTTTACAACACATAAGAATAATATGGTTAAAAGAAGGCTGATCCACAAGCATTGTGAACCTGTCTGTGTGTGTATGCCCGAATTATGAAAGGCTTTTACTGGAGGACTCCCTTAAAGTGAAAGAAGAATGAAAGAAAAAGAAAAATAGAGAACAAGAAAACAACCTCATTCCACTGAATCAAAGATTGCATACATACCAGAGGTGAAAAAAGCAGTAGAACATGCAGAGCCACACGTACAAATTTGGAACTGAAAGCTTCAAAACTCTCTCTAAAGCATATAAGAGGTTCCCTTTTAGGGGATGCTGGGAATTCTTAACAATAGGATTTATATACTGCAGAATCAGACAGTCAAAACCAAGTCAGCATCATATGTTAAAATTTGTACAACTAAAGATAGGAAAGTGAAAACAAGTTCTGATTCAGAGAAAAGTGCTATTTACCTGTTCTATTATAAAACCTATGAGTCCAGTAAATATTATTAACCTGATAAACCGCCGAAACACGCAACCCTTCCGAACAGATGGCATACGGGGATAGCTTGGCTACAATGGCAATTTCAGCATGAAAACAAGAGATTTCCGAGATGGGGTTGTGATTTCCAAAGAAATATGCCATTTATAGATCATAGCTATAAATCATGCAAGTGGCCAGTTGGCAAACAAAAGGAAGCAATGGATAAAACTATAAAAGTTCCCTTCAGAGGCCTAGCTATACCAGAAAATATATGCCAAATTCAAGCTATAATGATATAATCACAAGCCAATTATACACAAGCAACATTGCAATAATCAAGATCTCAATGACATGGATGTAACACACAGCAAAGAGAGGAAAGGAAGAGAAAAACTAGAAGTTTATTGAAATTTCTCAATTTCTATGTAGAACCAGGAGAGAAAATAGAAGCAATGATGAGAAAGAACAAAAGAACTAGGTTTTTAGAAGCAATAATTTCAACTCATCTTCAGTGACAATTTGACACATCATTAAAAGTGGGTTGCATACTGATTCACAATTTCACATAGTTCCGAGTGAGAAAGGGGTCCACTTTTGTTTACGTGCTAACATTTAATTGGCTTGTTATACCACAGAGGATGTACAACAGTTGTATTGTAGAATTTTTCCCTAATAAAAGATACCAGATGTTAAACAGAATAGGAAATTAAACTAAATCCTAAATATATTATAACCTTGCCTAATTACATCATATCTTATAACTTAATTCCTAAATATTCATAATTATAATAGAATCCTAGATAATTTAGAATATTCCTCACACCCTGCATCATATTCATTAAGACATATTTTCATACTTGAAATGTGTCCTAAATCAACTTCAAACAGATTCCTAAAAATATTTGAAGAAAGAACCCTAGCCCATAGCCTGCGTGCCTGGATGGTCACCCTGTGGGTGCTCCATCCATGCCACCAGGGTTCAAATCCCCTAGTTCCCTATCCCCCAATAGTGCTAATTTCCTTCAGTTCAAAAAATATATATTTGACCAAAAAGACTTAATCACTAGGTCATATAATCAGTGCAATTGAACAACAAAGAAGCTACTCAAAAAGGAGTCCATCTACTATCTGATGCTCTATAGGTGAAATTATGGGATGACGAAAGTAATTGCTCCTTCTGATGATCAGGGTTGACATTGATCATAAACAGCTACATGATGAATGGGTCAAGCCTGTAGGAAATTGGTCCAAGTACCCAAGTAACCGCCTTGCATGAGGAATGCTCTGGAATGGACTGGTGGCGAGGCAACTTAAGGGAGACCACATGGAGGTAACAATTGGATATCCCCTTCACTCATTCTCTCATTGATACATACTTACCCAACTTCTAGCTCACACACACTCCGTTTTCCTCCATGAATCTTCCATTAATGTTAAGCGTTAGAGTGCCAAGCTGGAGACCAGCTCCAGTCTCTGGCTAAGCTCTCAAGTTTCTCTGTTTTGCAGGTGTTTGCCAATAGTTCTCTTTCAGCTTCCTACACCGGAATCTTGTTGACCACCCTTTTGTGTTAACACTATTGGAATTCCTGATAACAAAAATGGTAGCAAAGTGGTATTGACAACTGAAACTAATCGGAGCAGTTTGAGGCAAAGAATTAACTCCACATGAGAGTTGGAAGATGTTTAAAGAGATAGTTGCTGATCACTAAATTTATGGGTTTTTAAGACATTTGCTCGAAGAGTAGCCAACCAATGCGGTGGACTCCCACTTGTGATCAAGATAATGACCAGCTGCTTCAAATTTAAAAACAGGGTTGATGAATGGAATGATTTGGAAAAGCTCAAGAAAGGTTCAAAAGTTGAGTTGTCTCGTCTAACACAAATACATACATTCTTAAAGTGCTATTATGATGACTTGGAAGATCAACAACAAAAGAGATGCTTTCTTTATAGCACATTACATTGACACTAAGATATCCACAGATTAGTTGATGAATATTTGAAATTATCAACACTTCACCAAATAATCTATGGATATCTTAGTGTCAATAGCATGTAATGCAGTGTAAAGAAAGCATCTCTTTGGTTGTTGATCTTTCAAATCATCATAACAACACTTTAAGAATGCATGTATTTGTGTCAGATGAGGAAACTAAACTCTTGAACTTTTCTAAACCATTCCTCCATTTATCAACCTTGTTTTTAAATTTGGAGTAGCTGGCCACTATCTTGATCACAAGTAGGAGTACAACGCATTGATTGGCTACCCTTCAAGCAAATGTCACAATAGCTCGGTGATAAATTTTGTGATCAGCAACTATTTGTTTAAACATCTTCCAACTCTTAGGTATAGTTAATTCTTTACCCTGAACTGGTCTGACTGGTTTCATATTCGAACAAACTTTATGGTTGCCAATACCACTTTGCTACCATTTTCGTTAGGGATTCCAATGGCATGCAGCCGTTCATGATCAATGTCAACCCTGATATCTGACATCATCCAGAAGGAGCAAGTACTCTCTATCTTTCAACTTTTCTGATATGCTGATATTCCATATTTTATCCAGAAGGAAAAAAGACTTGATCAGTACCTGGTAACATAATGTTGGCGCTACCATAAAGTATGCCAAACTCTTGAAGCTAACCTCACACGAGTGATCCCCACTTCCCTATTAGCAATAACAACCTCGTTAAAAAATGGGAACTTATAGAAAAATCAATCCATATAAGAGAGAAGAGAAGGTGATTGTACTTTTCTTATTCCAATAAACAGTGAATGCAGATAATGTTCTCAGAATTCTTCATGGCTTGATGCCAACAAGCATTTTATAAGTTTCCAGCCCAATTTTCTTAATTCTCAAATTAACCCAACAAAAATTAATGCAGTATGCATATGCTATTTGCAAAGAATTTAATAAAAGGAACTAGACACTTTTTTTGGTACAAGTGAACAGCATATGCACATTTCGTTTGATATTTTCATCATGAATAACAAGTTTACAACCACAAGCCACAAAGTTGGAAGGACTGTTTCCCTATACCTTTCCATCTGACTTTGCCAGTGCTCTCATATCATAGTTTGTATGAGCATATGATACCAATTTTAACCAGACAATGCAAACAAACAGCATCAATATAACACCAGATAAAACAGCAGAATCACACCTGTACAATTCAAATTACTGAATGATTTATTAGTTCTCCACAATATCACATTATTCTTATAATTTTGAGTACAAAAATAATAAAAATAGGGGGCATAACCCAAGGATATAGAACAGTAAAACTCCAGAGACAGAGAATAAAAAGATGAAGTTAAATGAAAAGGCCTTCTATGTAGAAGAACCGACAACAAGTTTACTCCAGAAATAGCCTCTGTTGGTAGAACTGAAGATAAATTGAATAAAAGAAGAATGAACCAACAATCTCTCAAATACAACTTTTAAACCCTTGGCCCCTTTAAAATGCCCAAATATATAAAATAGAGCAGAAAAGAAACACAGAAGGATATTAAATAAAATGTATATAATTCCAATTTGAGAGAAATTTCTTCCCAACCGTGAAAATTTACAAATTCAGTAAAAATTAAAGACACCCCTAAATGCATATTATTCAAACTTGACGAAATAGTGTGACAGAGGAAGATACCAATTCAGTGGATGTATTGATTTCTGGGTACATTATTTTTAAATCTTTATCTAACCCTTCAAAGATGCCAACTAATCTCTCTTTATTTAATCACTTTCTCAATCATGCATTCTTCTTAGATGTCTCTAACTAATGTTATCAAAATAAACATACCAAAAAACAGAAATAGTTGACCAAATAACTTTTAATTACTTGTCACCTGATGTTATACCTCCAGATACAAAGTAGACTAGCTACATTTAACCACAACCTCAGAATGAAGTTTAAATTTGTATGATAACTAACAAGGGAAAAGAAAAAATTACCCAAGAATCACAAAAACTGGATATGAAACTGCAGTTGTGGTAACAATTACATGAAGTAAGACAACAACCTGAAATATTAACCAGCATTTACCATCTTTCAAGTTCAGCAATCTAATATATCATTTAAACTAGAAGAAAACTGATCTTCTTGAAAGAATATAAACTTATACTTGTATACAACTGATAGTGCCGAATCCAACTACCATACGTTCTTCAATTTTGTTATTTCCAATTCATCTTTACAAATAATTCCAAAACAGTCAAACTAGAAGCACTTACAGGTTCAGATATACATTTCAGCTGTACCAACTTTTCAACAAAAAAGGCCACCAGCGGGAAAATTGGGAGACTAAGACTGAAAGGAAACCACAATGCAGAAATATTTTGTCAAAATATAAATGGTAAACTTGCCATAAGGAACACATTCATTTGCAAATACAAATCTAGGCATGAGATTTGGAAGATTACCAACACATAAGAAGGGGCCAATCTCTCAATGATGTTGGGCTAAACCAAAATCCAGCCCTAATCAACCAACCATACTGCAAAAACAATAAAGACATTTAATAACCTTCCAAATTCCAATGCAATAGATCCCAATCTCTAGCAAACTCAATTAATGGTACTAGGAGGGAATAAACCTTCATTAGATTTTCAATGATAAGCCGGCTCTTTACAGCAACAAGTACTACTATACAGAGGTTGAAGAGACCTGCATGGCTCTGCTGTAAATGGTAACAATTAAAAACTATTACAGTTAACCAAATGATCCACCAACTACTTATGCCCACTAAAAAAATTAATCATGGTGCAGAAACCCGCAAGTTCATCAAAGAACATACCACAAGGGTCCAGTATATATTACACACCATATTTCTACAACAAAGACAAACTGCACCGAACAGTTCTTTGACTTTGGCATCAAAATCTGAACTACCATTAATTTACTAAGCACTTCTTCTTTTTTTTTTTTCCTTTTTTTCCTAAACCTACTACCAACTTCAATTTTTGGTATACATAATACCGCAAAGCTTGTCACTTACCAAATTCAAACACATATAGTTCTACTTCATGCAGCACCTCAAATTAAACCATGAACTGTACCGGAAAACATACACATTTACTGCATACTCAAGCGTACCTGTCTGAAGATAGCATCGGAGCTTAGAGGACTCTCCTTATTCCTCCGATGAACCGGAACAGAAGGCCGATACGTGAATCTTATATCCGAACTCTGATTCTCTCCATTCGCCGTCACTTCATCGCTTCTCAAAAAATTAGCGTACTCAACCCGATCCGCTTCACCATTTCCCGAACTATCCGGCTGGCGATCTCCGACTGCGCTTGCTCTCTTCCTCAACGAGAGGTTAAGATTCGAGTCGTTGTTTCCGCTGGTGACAGTCCAAGTGCTGCCAGCAATCTCCGGCGACTCCGACATCGCCATCGGAAAGTCAACCAAGCGCCGGTAAACACAGCTCGAGGTGAGCAAATCGGGTGCACGCCCCTGTTTACTTCTGAATCACACACAGTATGTATAGTGTGGCAGCGAAATAGCGTGTTTGGTTTCCAGTCATGCAGCAAATCAGAGGTGGTTACTGATGAGAGAGAGTGAAGACTGAGAAAAAAGACTAATTGGTCGCTCCGGAGTTGCCGGGTTTTTGGTTTCTCTTTTGGAGTTTGGAATTACTATAGGAGTGTTTTGCTTTGTTTGGTTTTGTTTTTTCCTTTTTATTTTTTTAGAGTGGATTAGATCAATGAAGGCTTTGCAACAGGAATACCTTACGTGGTCACACTTTTTTTTCTTTTGATGTAACCTTATGTAGTGAGATTTTCTATGGTCTCAATTAATTATTTTTTAAAAATAAATGTATCTACTATAAAATATAATATTTGATTTCCTCGTTCAAATATAGTTTGTAGTAATAATTGAACAGAAAATATATTTGTTATTGTTTATAAGTTATAGACTCAAATTTCTTCAATTAAAGACCAACAACTAATGTTGGTAGGGTCCTTTTTTTGAATTTTTTCTTTTAATGTATGGATAGCTAGCCGAGCATTTTACTGTTGTGGAATGCATACAGTTCTTGAATTGACTTTATTCCATTTAACTCAGTTTATTATAATTTATATTTTATGTTCTACCTTTTGCTTTTGTCATTAATAAACCTTTCTTTTACATGCTTCTGGTTGGTGTAATGATCTCCATTTTTTTAAACCCCTTTTTATCAATTTTAAGATTTAAACTTAAAATTTGTAATATAAATATTTAAACTTTTAATTATTAAAATGTCTTTGAATTTTTTATATATTAGATAATATGTTACATAATAAAAAAGCAGTCCTCCCTTTGCACACCCTTCTTTTCCTATTCAATATTCAAATTTAAAATTTTTAACAAGAATACTCAAAAGTTCTTAATCACTAGCAGATGTCTCTAGGTAAAAAAATTAAAATGTGCTTTAAAGAACATCTAATTTTAACTTTTGTTAAAAAAGAAGGGCTAGTGACACTTTTTTACATTCTTTTTTAAAGACTTACCAATGTAAATGGTACACATAATACATGCCTGATATTTTTTCATAAATGATTCATGTGACAAGTGATTTAAATTTAAAATCATCAAACATGTGAACCAATAATAAAGAAATACTTGTCACATGAACTTGCATAAAGAGTGTTGAAAATAAAGTACAAAAGAAAGTGTTACTAGCATCTTACTTTCCTAAAAATCATCTCATTCCTATTCCATGGCCATTTGAAGGGAAGAGTTAGCTACAGTGTTGTAAAAAGCTCAGCTAAGTGGTGTCTAACCTAGGCTCTAGGTGGTGCCATTTCGTCTACATCTTACTAGATTTTAGGCAATGTCATTCTGTCCGTAGAAATTTAATGCGGTTTGCACCACTCAAATCAATTAAGTACATCAAGATACTATTAGGTGTGCTTAATGGCACCTAGAGTGCTTGACCAAATGCTTTTTATTTATTTTTTAGCCTAATGAAATGATGTTATTTAATTTATTATAAAAATTATATTAAAAAAAATTAAATGCCAAGTAATTCTTTTAAATTCAGCTCTTTAGCATAATAATGAATAAAAAATGTTTAATTTTTTTATTTATTTTATAATTTTTAAAATTATTTTACACATTTTTCTTATTCTCTTAGAATTATATCAAAAATTTATTATTAAAAAAAAACCTGCCTAGGCCGCTTAGGTACTTTAGGCTATAAGCTGTGGGCAACCGCCTACCATCACCTAACTCTTTCTGCAACTTTAATTAGCTACTCAACAACTAGGTTACTAGCTCGATACAATTGTTCTTACTTCTTAGCATCTTTTTTTCAGCAATAGAAATCATAAAAATAAAGATATCAATTAATAGGAACATTTATGCATGGCCTCAAAAGGAAGACATGTATTTGGGTGCAGGATTAGGATTGCATTCTACCTCTTCATTTTCTTATAACATATATTCTGCATCCGAAAGCAAACAGATGGTTAAAAAGTTAAAAGTCATGGGATAAATTAGGATGGATAAATAAAGCAACTCTTGAGCATTATTGATAAAGAGGAATTTAACCATTTGCTTTGTTTTTTAAGCATTAAGGAAACACAAGAAGGGAACCCTTTCTAAGTATTTTTGGGGATTGTTGACTAAATTTCATTGCATTACATAACAATGAAGGAACTTAAATTTGTCGGAATCCATGATGAACAGACAAACTCCAAAGGGAAAGGTGCATGATTTGTTTATTACAATTCTTCAAGAATAAGTAATACACCATTCATTCCTAGTATATTCTTCAATTCTTGCTTTGCTTTTCGTGAGCTTCTAGAACACACATGAACAAAGTCAAAGTCCAATAAACAATCACTTCTAACGGAAGACACATATTTCTAGTAAAGATTTTTAATGATCATGCCATTGGGATTATGAAAAAAAGTGAAAACAATTTGGATAAAAAATGATTGCACAAAACAACATCTGACAGGTTTCATGTGCGTGGGTGGTTGTCCCCTCCTACCCCGACAAAAGGCCGGTAACTCGCAGGTCATATAGGTGCGTTACCATCTAAATAGTTAACAGGACAAGTGGGCAACTCCGTGTGGGACACAATTGACCCGCTCATGCAAATGTGTATCCTTGGTTCCTTACCTAAAACATAGACTAGGCTGTTTCCTTAACGTCTCTTTATTGCTAATTGCTACTCAGAATCTTCAACCCTTTTTTTTTTTTTTTTCTGTTTTTTTGGCCGACGACACAACGAGAATCCAAAATCAGAAACCCAACAATTCAAAGGGCCCGAGCATGAAGAGTATTTAATTAATGACATGGCAGGTTGAATCTACCTGCCATTACTTCTTACTCCCATTTTTGCAGTGTCAAAATGTTGGACCGAACATAACTACCCAATTCAATAGCAAAACAACAGGCAAAAGCAAGTCAAGACAATGTAAATTTGATGCAGCAGAGCCACAAGTTTCTGTTTTCCATGGCATAAAAACAGGTTCATGAAGCACTAAAAGAGCTTCTAAGAAAGCAGTTATAATGTAATCCCTCTTGAATATGTAGAATGGTCTAATGTAAGAAGGGGTACTCTATATCATGGTAAGAATATGTCAGAGAAGTAACAACCAAATGAAAATTTGACACCTCATCAATGGTTGGCACGCCAGGAGAGCACTCTGACACCAAAATCATGTTAAAATATTCAGCACTCTAAACAAAGAAAAGCCAGAATACTGCAGACAAGCATGATATACTTCTCTACCAGAAAATTTTCAATCAAAAGCCCACCACACAATATTTAAGATGAATTCTGGATTCCAAGATGCTAGTACTTGTATCACCTGACTGTCTAACAATCAAACATCTTAAATCAAGATACCATGCTAAGAAAGATAGCACAACATATAATACATATCAAACAGCATACCATTTTCTCTAATCATCATTGCGGTCAAAATCTTGTTAGAGGAGATCGGCAACATTTGCTGGCAGCTCCTCAATAACCACATTATAAAACTTCTGGATGTCATAAAGCATCCTTTCATCATCCCTCGTCACAAAGTTGATAGCAACTCCCTTCCTCCCAAATCGTCCACTACGTCCAATACGATGAAGGTAGTTCTCAGGTTGTGTAGGGAGATCATAGTTTATTACAAGAGAGACCTGTTGGACATCAATACCACGAGCAAGAAGATCGGTGGTGATGAGAACACGTGATGACCCAGAGCGAAATTCGCGCATGATTATGTCTCTTGTATTCTGGTCCATATCTCCATGAGTGGCAGAAACTGTGTGGTCTCGGCTCCGCATTTTATCAGTTAGCCAGTCAACCTTGCGACGGGTGTTCACAAAAATGACACTTTGAGTAATGGCCAAAGTCTCATAAAGATCACAGAGTGTCTCAAGCTTCCACTCTTCCTTTTCAATATTGACATAAAACTGCTTTATACCCTCCAATGTGAGCTCATCACGCTTCACAAGAATCCTCACAGGTTTATTCATAAACTTCCTGGTAATCTCAAGGGCCTCAGGTGGCATTGTTGCAGAAAAGACTCCAACTTGCACTTTTGCTGGCAAGAGCTGGAAAATATCATAGATCTGATAACAAGAGAAGTTTAGAATCCGAACAACCATAATCTGTTTCAAGCATAAGGCTTCTAAAAGCACCACTGTAGGATCAAATCTTTTTTCGGAAGGAAAGAAAGAAAGAAAGAAAGAAAGAAAGAAAGAAAAAAAAAGTCATACTAAAACATGTGCATGACTGATGCCCCATGGTGTGAAAATAGAAATTTAAAATTCTGCTTAATACAAATGAATATAGGTGCTGCAATAAGGACCTGATCTTTGAAACCTCGCGACAGCATTTCGTCTGCCTCATCTAATACAAACATCTTGATGTGATCAGGGCGAAGTGACTGCCTTCGCAGCATGTCAAATACACGGCCAGGAGTGCCCACAACCACATGGACCCCACTTGACAAAATGCGTTGATCTTCACGAACACTAGTTCCACCAACACATGCATGTACCTTAACCCCAAGATAGTCTCCAAGTGCTCGCATAACTTTCTCAATCTGTTGAGCAAGCTCCCTAGTTGGTGCCAGAACCAAAGCCTGGCATTCCAGCAAATTATAATCAAGCTGTTGTAGAATTCCAGAACAAAATGTTGCTGTCTTCCCTGTTCCAGATTGGGCCTGTTGAATCACATCAAGTCCCCGGCAGAAGGGAACAATCCCCCTTTGCTGAATTGCAGAGGGTTTTTCAAAACCTATAGAATGGAAGAAACATCATTCTCCCAAGCTTTTTTGAAATTAAAATTGTGAGGACACATCAAGCTTAGTTGCTCTGGTCTGAGTGAAAAAGAACACCTCATAAGGCATCAATACCTAAATTTTTATGTTTTGCCTCAAAATCACCCTTTAATAAGCTCATAGACAGTAAGAAATCACACTACATATCTATTAACCATGAAAAAAGGAAAATAATAAAGAAGATGTATAGTTATACAAAGGCACAAAAAAGCATCATGCAATGACAGCATTTCTACATATCCACCCCAAAAAACATAAAATATAAAGTATAATTAGATCTACCGTATGCATAAATGCCCCTCAGAAGGTTCTCCTGCAAACCCATAGAATCAAAAGTATCATAAACCTCATCGAATGAAGTAAAGAAATCCTGTCCATCAGCCGAAAGCCTGCAGCCATCAAAAGATTATGACAAGAGAAACTATTAGATCCATATCAACAAGAAGTACAAGATCACCCATCTGACAACATAGCCATTTTATCACACAATAAACAAACAGAAACAAAATCTTTGAAAAGCTGCAAGGTTCAACGATACAAGAAACCTATGTTGGTAAAATAGACAGAGAACTTACAGTTCATTCATTTTGGCATCATATTGACGAGCATCATATTGTGATCCCTCTGGTGCAACCCCTGCCATGACTGCATAAAGCATGGCATCATTTATACATAGCTTTTTATGGTTTTATACAGAGCATGTATCAGCAAATAACAACCAAGAAAACTAATAGCAAAAACAAATATTAAATTTTATGTACCCTATAAATGCATAATACACCATGAGTTTTGCGACCGAATGATACCAACTAAGATTACTACTCTGAACTCTTCTCATGTTGAGGATTTCCTTTTAAATTTTGTTGTCTCACATTCTCTTTTCAAACATACAAAAATAACATTAAAAGTTATCAAAAAAGGGGCTAAAAAAAAAAAAAAAAAAAAGAAAAACCAGAAAAGAAAAGGCTACTGATGGCTTCTCTGAAGAAGCTCCGCGTTCACGCCATTCTTTGTTTCTGC